TCTTCCCACATCGTGATGTAGACATGTGGGGGCGTGTTAGAACGAGGCGTTTTAGGAGGGCGTGGCTGACTCTTAACTTTTATAAAGAATATCTCTTTGGGTTTGAGACTTTAGTCTTTGCAACTTTAGGGATCTTATCTATTCACGAACAGTTTGTAACACTCCAAAGAGAAAGGAAAACTTTAAATCGCATCATATGACACCTTTAATAATAAATACATTTCAAAATTCGGGCAAAATGTTGTTACATACATTTTTGTATAGGCAACATACATTAAAAAACAATAATTGGCCTAACTGTGTATTAAATAACAGTACTAAATACACAAAAATGTGTCATATTTAATGCCGCCGTTATTACTATTTGTTTTATAAAGTACTACTGACAAAACCCATAGTATGTATGTTTAACTACATGTTGTCATATGAACAACCAGTCATTAACTACATTAAGCTTGTGTTATATTCACACAAAAAAAGCTAATTTGTTTGTGAATCAGACTACACTGGTTGCCTAAATGTATTTGATTCAGTAAATGATTCATAGTGGAATAATTTGGTTGAGACCAAAATAATTCATAATTGAATCATTTGGTCAAGAATCGATGGACTACACTGATCATGCTAAATAGTTTTGATTCAACTACAAACATCTGGCTCATGAGATTCATTCATTCTGAAACCTATCTATACTTTTCGCACTTTATGTCTGTTTCACGCTATAGATTCAGTAGTAGTGCATGACTCTGATTGACTCTCAAAATGTCTTCGTACACGCTCATGAACCATTAATGGAACCAAATGTAATTTGCTGTAATGTAATTGGCTATTTTTGAGTAAGAACTAAATCCCAACCTGCTCAATATCTTTGACAAGGCAGCACCTCTGAGTCCATCACTGTTTTTTCTTTACTTTCTTGCTGTTTAATATGCCTACATGGTTTGATTTCACCCTAAGCGATTTTTCAGGATACGATACAGAACAAATCTAGTCCCAGAAGAAAAGTAATTTTAGTGGACCCGGCTTTATGCGTTTTGGGAAAACTGACATTACATGTATTCTTGAAGAACATTTTGAAGGGCATATCAGCTCATGGTGATTTGTAAACCTGACTGTCGCGTAATTAACCGTCAGTATCCTTGTCTGACTCCGATGACTCAGATGGTTGAACCAGAGGCAAGAACCCCAAATTTTTAAGTATTTAAAAGCTGGATTAGACTCTCCAACTTTAGATGAACCTTTTGAGGATTTTCAGTTGTGGTTAGAACCTTTTTACATAAAAATCCTCAACAACAGTAATTTTTTTAGCTAGTTCACATTCATCTGGCCCACCTTGCGGACTCTGCTGGAAATAGTTTTCCTGCTGTGCTTTGTGCTGCTCTTTCTGTTGTCTCTGTCTGTTTGATAATTCATACCATCCTTTTTCAGGGTGTTTTTTCCTTTATATGTTACTATTTCTACTTGCCCTGTGGTTTTGTCTTTAGAGTCCGTCTCTCTGGGATGAAGATAATGCGCCCCCCTTTGGCCATTGGGCATTATAAGATGATCAAACATAAAGGAGATCAGGGTAATGAGCAGAACCCGAGAAGGTGATGTCACATGCCAAATATATTATAAACTTTGCTACTAGGGTTGCAAAGGGACGGAAACATTCTGGTAAACTTCCAGAAACTATCCAGTTTTGCAACCCTAGTTGTTACAATCTTAAAAATAAAGGTTCCAAAAGGGTTTTTTTTTCACAGCCATGCCATAGGAGAACTATTTTTGATTCCCCAGTGAACTTATAAGTGAACAGTTCTTAACAGTTTAATCTAAAGAACCTTTTTCCACTGTAGGAACCTTTTGTCCATCGGAAAAGTTCTATGGATGTTAACAGTTCTTCATATGGAACTATAGATGCCAATAAAGAACCTTTGTTTTTAAGAGTGTATGGATAGATAGATTTATTATTTAATCCGTTTATTCTGTTAATTGAGTCAGTTCCTCTTCATGAATTCGTTCTTGTAGGTTTGACTTGCTGAAGCGCACAAGGCTGAACTGGCGCTCAGATGGACTGAACTCGCTGACTTATGAGCTCCTGTCCAAAGAGTTGGAGCCATTGTACACAAATTTATCTGTCAACATTGGGGATGATCCACACCGTCCCCCTGTGAAGGCTCCACCCCGGAAGTCAGAGCCTCAACCCGCTCCAACTCCTAAAATGAAGACTGAAAAAGTGGGTGTGGTCATCAATCATAATGCCACAAAAGTGGAGCCCATCCACTTGAAGGCCAGTAATGAAAGTTCAAATGTTGTTCAAAAAGCTCCTTTGAAACAGGAGGTAGGATGATACTGATAATCAAGTATCCACAGACAATTCACAGGGGGAGTTATTAATGGATAGTGGAGGGAATACTAGTTTGCTCTTTATTTTATATCGTGAAGCATTGCTACTCTAGGCAAATAAGTTCATTCCACTGAAAGTCGACTGAAACGGTTCGGCCGTCTCTGAATGTTGTTCAGCTGCTGATATGGTGAAGTTTGCACAAGTCTGAAGATCTCGTTTCACTGTAGGTGTCGTATCAGAGTGGGCCGAGTTGTAAACGCTCTCGAAAGCGACCTATCGACGTACCTGTGCAAGTCCTGTGTGTTTTTGAGCTGACCTGCTGCCAGCTGCTGCTCTTCACCCCACTGTGTGGGTCTGTTTTTCTGTGCCTTTTCTTGCCCTTGAACCAGTCTCTTATCAACATGCCATGACTCAGTCGAAAGCATTATTACTGCACACCACTGTTATTGATACTACAGTTGAATGCTCTTTCCACATGTTTATCTATTTTTCTCTTCTTTTAATATCTAATCAGCACACACTGCTTTGTGATCTAGTGCTTGAGCAGACGTGTATCACTGTGGTCTATTTTTGGTCTTACTGTACAAACTTAGAAAGGTGTGATCTTTGATTGTGAGCACTGGCTTATTTTCTCTTTTAGCTGCTCAGATACCTATTAATCATTTTATGATGCAGTGTAAAAGAAAAGAGTTTAATTATTTTAGGTATTGTGTGGTGCCTTTGTTGGATTCCATTTCGGTTGTAGACAATCATTGGGATGAGCATATAAAATGACGCAAATATTTATTTATAATCTTTACAGACTTCTATTATTTGAATTCAGGAATATGTTTCTGTTAAATGAAATAGATTTGATGGTTTAGGTTGAAGGTGTGACTTTAGTCTCTAAGATATTTGATATTGTAAGATTTTATAAACGGGTAATGGGTAATTTTGTGGTTAGTTATATAGCAAGAATACATTTTATCTGTTAGTGAAAAATATTTGTTGTATCACCATTATGGCACTTTTACAGTATGTAAAAACTGCATTCTGTATTAAATACAATCCTTGAGTATAAGCTACATTTAAAGAACAAAGACATCAGCGTCAGATGTTTTTCTGTTGAAGTTATTTTGAAATGAAAATTGCATTGCACATTATATTAGCAGGCCCACTGACATTTTTCACTCTCCCACAATGCAAACTACAAAACATTAAGAAAAATATCATATTATTTGCTGTAAATGATAGTCTGAAGGTGCTCATTGAGAATTCACCCCATCATGTGACATGGTGCATATCTCACTGTAAGTACAACATATTTGAAATCTAGATATACATTTCAGAGAGGCTGTTTAAATTATTCTGATTTTGATACGCAATTCTTAGTGTGACTTAGTGTCATAAGATAAAAAAAACATGGTGTTTTACTTCATGCCTTTGTATTAAATCTACAAAAAGTGTAACTAAGATAGTATTCTGAGATGCATGTGGCAGATAAATAAATTTCATCCTAGCATATTTGCAAGACCCTTGCATACCGTATATATATATATATATATATATTGAATAAAGTACATAGTTTTCTATCAGATACAGTATTTGGCAATGGTGTTAAACTACTTTAATGCCTCTAATCTGAGAACATCATTACATCTAATAACTGTTTTAGACATGACATACTCAGAAAAAAAGTGGTAAGATTTTAAAGATTGTGGATATTTTTGGTCATGTCATTTTTGGTCAAACACTGTTGATTTGAATGTGTATTCTTTTGGCTATGATGACTGTTGGTTATATAAATATACATAACGGAGACTCTGAAACTGCGTTTCCACCTGTGTCTGAGTTACGTTGAAGTTTGCCACAGATATTACTACTGATCAGTTATCTTGTGAATAAACATTTTACCATTGTGATTTGACCATGCAGCTGTTTATTGTATGTTTATCAACAGAGAATGGAAAAATGTTTTAACAAGGGCCTTAATCTTTAGAACCCATGATGACTGACTTGGAGGGACTCTTAAAGGGATAGTTCACCCAAAAATGTATATTCTGTCATTATTTACCCTCATGTCACTCCAAACCTGCATGACTTTCTTTCTTCTGCAAAACACAAAAGCAGATATTTTGAAGAATGGTAACTGCACAGATTTGGAGACTACTGACTTCCATTGTTTAAACAAAACCGAGACACTTCTCAAAATATCTTATGCTCCAACAGAAAAAGAAAGTCAGCTTTGAAACGACATGAGGTTGAGTATATGATGACAGAATTTTGTTTTTTGGGTAAACATATCCTTTCAAGTTCACCTTCAGTTCCCCAAGCATTCAGTGTCTGCTCACAAAATCACTCATTGGCTTCCAAGCGCCAAAAACATAAACCGATTACTAGTGAATTAAGCTGATGTCGTGTCCTAGGGGGCCTACAGGTGTGTCATTGTATTATTGAGCAAATAAACAAAAACTATTTAAAATCTCTTGCGATGTTTTTTTTTTTTTAAAGAATATTATTAAAATACAGATATCAAGGTACTCTGATAATTTTTTTTTATCAGGATTTCATCTAAGCAGATTCCATTACAAAAGCCATTGAGTAAAACTAATCAGCTTTAGCTTCATTGAAACAATTCAGTTAATGTGTTCTAACCTGTTTTTATACAGTCTATGGTTCTGACACACACATTAAAGTATGCACAAACAGAGAGCACAGTTATAAATAAATGGAACACAATAATAATCATATCTGTAAAGTAAAAGTGTTTTTCAAAGAAGTGGTAGGCTTACGTAATGCCATTTCATGGAACAACTTTTATAACTGCCCATGCAGGGGATCTGATTATAAATGGTGTTATTTCTGCTGAGATGCTGGTCTGCTGTTCTGGGTTGGTGGTCTTAACTCAGCTTGGCTCTCTTGAGTGGCTGGTCTGGATGGAGCCTGTTGGCTGTGGTGACTTCCTGGTCTAGACTGGGTTTGGTTTTCGAGAAGGTTTACTGGGTTAGACTGGTCTTGGCTGTGATGTGATTTGGGCCTCTCTGGTTCATTTCGGTCTGGGTCACTCGCTGGCATTTTTGACTCTTCTGCAGGCTGGTCCACATTTATGTTTTCCTATAAGCATATTGTTTAGTCAGAATTATTAAAAGCAATGTAATATAACACCATAGCATCATAATTAGGAGATATTAAACACCCACCACATTGTTAATGGTTCTGTTTGTAGCCTGGCTGCCATCAGGGGCCTCATGAGTCTGGTTTGTGGCAAATTTCATCTGTCCCCAGGTCCTGAGGCGATCCTCGCCCTCTCGTGAACGGGCAGTGGGGTTTATGGAAGCAGGATGGATATACTGAGGTAAATCCCATGTGCCTTGGAATGCTGGCCATGCACTTCCACTCTAATAATGAAATCATTTATAAATAGTAAAATGAAACTGCTGCAAAACGTTTTAAGCTTGGTAATTACATTTAAATTGCATGCAAGTCATGCAAATCATCAAAACAAACCTTTGTTCTGACACCAGGTAGAAGGTGGCCACGGTCTGTGGCTATAAATGTAGTGTGGCCTTCTGCTGCTGATGGTCTCTTGAGGAACAAAAAGTAAATATTCCAAACGCAAGAATTTATAATATGAGCTAGGCAATTATTCTCTCCACCCAGTGCAATTTGTATAACTGCGTCATTTAAATGAAAAAGGACTCGAAGTAACGTTAAACATTTACCGTTGTGCCCTGTTTGACTGACGTGCATGCTTCTGCATTTGCATGGTTCACTGTTTGTGTAATGGAAATGCTCAGTAACAGTAAAGTGTACACTACAGTTCAAAGGTTTGGTTGCAAGATTGTTTTTGCAAGAAATAAATATTTTTATTAAGCAAGGATGTATTAAATTAGTCAAAAGTGACGGTAAAGATAATTTGTTTTCTATGAATAAAGAATTTCTATTTAAAAAAAACGCTGTTCTTTTGCAAACATTTTTGTAAACGATTAAATTGACAGTTATTCTAGCTCAAACGGCTTTACCAATGAGACTGACTGTGTTAAGTTACCTCTTTGAAATGTTTTGGGATGGTCCAATTCTGGAGCTTTTGCGATTTAAAAGCATTTTCATACTGCAGAAAACACCATAAATGTATTAAATACGTCAAGGTTATTCAATTATAAAATAAAAAAATATATCATAGTAGAATAGTTACAATTTAAGCACCTGGTTTGCAGAGTAACTAGTCGACATCTTTCCGCTCGAATGTGTTGGCAGTGGTCTCCTAGCAACCGCTGAAAATTATACTTTCAAATCAGTAGTTCACTTTTTCATATTCTTTGACTCTTTAAAATGCTCACTTGTCAAAGTGACTATTTTAAAGTGGCAACTCATATATTATATGTTATATAATAGTTATATAAAAAAATATTTTTTTCTCTTTCCTTCAGCGCTCAGTTGACTCTTCCCGTACGTGTGGGGCGCTAGAGATCATTGAGCTCTATGTTGCACGCTAAACGATCCGCTGAAGGAAAGTCACAAGCGGTGCACAGCGTTGTATTTGGACAACTAACTTATACAAATGGACGAGTTGTTAAGTTTGTTGTACAAAAATGCATACGAACAACAGTAAGTATATACTGAATAACACGCTTTGAAACTGTAACCATTTTGCTGCAAGCCGTAAAATGAGCACGCAGGCGTCGGCATCTGGATCCGTCAATGAAGCGAGAGGCAGAAGTGCTCAAGATGTGGAAGACTCCAAAACACACTTCAGAGTCTGTCGGTTTATCATCGAGACTGGTATTTGCAGTTTTTCTGAAATTTTTAGAGATGTGTTTTAATCTCTGTAGCTGTCGAAATTGTAACGTAAGGATGCTTGTTAGTTCATTCTCGTTATCCAAGGATGAATTGCTGTGCAGTTTGTGATCCCATGTGCATCCCATGTTTTCCGCATCTGCAGGAGTGAAGTTAGGCATGAGATCTGTGCCCATGGCTACAGCATGTGTGCTGTATCACAGGTTCTTCCAGTCTGCCAGTCTGCAGGTCTATGAGCCTTACCTAGTGGCCATGTCTGCCATCTACCTCGCAGGCAAAGTAGAAGAGCAGCATCTCAGGACAAGAGATATCATCAATGTCTGTCACAGGTATGAGAAAGGATATTAAGTCACAGTTTAGTTCTCAGAGTTCATGTATAGTAGGTCATTTCCTCTCTTTTTCTTTGATCCAGGTATTTTCACCCAGAGAGTGAACCGATGGAACTGGATGGGAAGTTTTGGGAGTTGAGGGACAGTATAGTACAATGTGAGCTCCTTGTCCTTCGACAGCTTAACTTCCAAGTGTCCTTTGAGCATCCACATAAGGTAATGTATGCAATGATTACCTTGTTCTCAAGCTTTTAAAATAGGTAATAAACACTTCAAGTCAAGTTTTTGAACAGTAACATTTTTAATGTTTTTTAAAGAATTCTCTTCTGCTCACCAAGCCTGCATTTATTTGATCCAAAATACAGCAAAAGCAGTAATGTTGTGAAGTATTATTATAGAAATTAATACTTTTATTTAGCAAGGATGCTTTAAATTGATCAAAAGTGATGATAAAGACATTTATACTGTTACAAAAAAACTTCAGTATTTTCTTCTGCTGGGTTCCAGGTCATATGGGTTTTTCTGGAAAAGAGAAAGCAGATATCACTGCAAAAGAAGCAATCAAACTGAATATTTGTCAAATTCCTTTTTGTGATGTCAAACCTGTGATAAACGCTTATATTAATGACATGTGGCAGATGGAATGGGATAAATGTCATGAAAATAAATTATATGAAACAAATCCTTGTTTAAGAATTTGTTTTTTTACTCATTTTAAATCTAGGTATGACCAAGTTGTTTTTACAAGATGTCTTTTAGGTCATACAAGATTTACACATGGATATTTATTAAAAGGTGAAGAACCACCATCATGCCTTACTTGCCAAACTAAAATGACTGTGAAACATATTTTATTGGATTGTACTGTTTTTAATGAAAATAGACAACGGTTTTATTCAGAGGTGTGTCTAACTGATTTATTTAAAAATGTATCACCTGAATGTATTTTAGAATTTTTGTCTAGTGTACATCTGAAATGTCTTTTATAACCTTTTGTTAATTGTATACCTTGTATAATTTATTCAGAGATCGCCATGAAAATAGCCTTGATGCTGGCATGGCGTGGCGTTAAAAAGTGAATACATAAATAATGTTACAAAAGATTTCTATTTTAGATAAATGCTGTTCTTCTGAAGTTTCTATTCATCAAAGAAACCTGAAAAAATTCTACTCAGCTGTTTTCAACATAATAATAATAAATAATGTTTTTTGAGCAGCAAATCAGAATATTAGAATGATTTCTGAAGGATCACGTGACTGGAGTATTGATGATAAAAATTCAGCTTTGAAATCACAGGAATAAATTACAATTTAAAATGTATTCAAATAGAAAGCAGTTATTTTAAATAATAAAAAACCCCACAATATTACTGCTTTTGCTGTATTTTGGATCAAATAAATGCAGGCTTGGTGAGCAGAAGAGAATTCTTTAAAAAACATTAAAAATCTTACTGTTCATAAACGTTTGACTGTCAGTGTATCTGTTGTCCACAGAAAAGAAAAACTGTATAGGTTTTGAAAAACAATGGCTGAGTAACTGATAACATAAGACTGATAATAAGAATTATCATTTTTGGGTGAACTATTCCATTAATGGCTGGCAGTGAACATTTTGCATGAACGGTTTGCAAAAAGCTTATATAATATATACTGTGCCTTGTGTGCAAAACAATATAATAGAAAATTATTTAAAAATATTGCTCTGCTGCAAACAATTTACAGTAAAAAAAAACAACTACTTTTGTGAATTTAAATACTTTTAAATTTAAATTTTGAATTTAAATTGTATATATACCCAAAACTAATAAAATGAGTAAAGCACAGCAAAATGACTACAGATATAAATGAAAACTGAAGTATAAAAAAAAAGGTAATGCAAAATATTAATTATAGTATATTAATATTAATTATAGTTAAAACTCTTATAGTATGTAAGTGCTCTAATACTGCTTTAAAGTGGCGTTCTTTATGCACAGGTTCTTTATGCACAGTGTCAAGACTCAATGAATCAATTATTTTCATTCTCGATTGATAAAAAATAATCAATTATATATTGTAAACTTACTCTCATCTTTGTACCTTCTCTAACTAATGCTGTCCAAAGTTTAATTGTATTTTGCTCCATCTAACAAACTTCATTTTGCTGTGTCCTAGTACGTGCTGCACTACCTGCTCTCTGTGAGGAGTCTTTTGAATCGCCACGCCTGGTCTCGAACCCCCATCGCAGAGACGGCCCTGGCTGTATTAAAAGACAGTTACCATAGCTCTGTGTGTGTCCGCCATAAGCCTCAACACCTTGCCTTCACCTCCCTCTATCTTGCTCTCCAGACATATGGAGTGCAGCTCCCCAGAGGAGAACTGGAGTGGTGGCAGGTAGGAGTTTTTTTTTTTTTTACAGTTTCATGTGGAGAAAAACATAAAATGTCCAGGCAGCATTTGGGTCATGCTGTGTTTGCATTGAGTCACCGAGACTGAACGTTGACTAGTTTGAGTCTCACCGGTGCCAGAGCCGGATCAGGCATCAATCGAGCCACGATTGCAGTAACCTTTAGAGTGCGGGAAGTAGTTCCCATGGCAATAAGGGCACCTAATGGCTGCTGCCTGGTCTGAGAGAAATAACATTGTTTTTCACACAAGTTGTGTTCCCTTGGTGACATCCTAAAGTAATATTTAAAAAGAATCAAACCATTTAATACATTTCAGAGTTTCTTAAAACCACTTGCTTAGCTTCAGTTTCCTAGAATTCTGTCAAGTGCCATCACTAGAATCCAATAGACTTAGGCCCAATCCCATTTCTACCCCTTAGCCCTTCCCCTTTCCCCTACCCCTCCGTTTTGCGCGTTCACGTGAAGGGGTAGGGGTGTCTTGATTCTTTTTTGCTTGGAGGGGTAGGGGTAAGGTAGGGGTAGCCCTTCAAACAAAGATTTTTCGGGACCACACTTCAAACGAAGGGGTATGAATTATCTCAGTGTAAACCGGCTTCATGGCTGCCTGAGCGAACAAAAAGACACATAGATGTAAGCATTTTTGGCTTTGATAAAGATTTTAACGAAAAGTAATCATTTGTTTTATGTCACATTCAATTGTGAGTTCATGTTTATGGTCATGTTACTCAAAGAAATGTTTGCAAAAAATTGCTAAAGTTTGCTAACGTCATATCATTACTGCACGATAGTGCCACAACATATTTTCATGTCTGATCAGGGCGATTACCAACGTAGACATTGAGGGGGCTAGTCTCCCCAATAATTAGAAATCGCTAAACCCTTTTCTCAAATATTGCCAATTCGAGAGAGAGAGAGAGAGAGATGAAAGTTGCGTGTATGCGCATCTGTGCGTTTCTCTTTTTAGAGTGAGTTTACTTCAAAAACAGTGATTTTATCCTCTCGTTGCTGGAAAATATAATGTAGCGATTCAGTATTTAAACTGTTATTAATAAAAGTCGTGGGGCAGCGTTGACAAGTTTCTTTGCTCCTGGATGTGAGCTGCGCGATCTCTGATATGTGTGTGTGTGTGCGCGTTTGTGTGTGTGTCAGTAAGCAGCACATTAATATAGAACGTTAATTAAAGGCTCTAATGCACACCAGCACACCAGTATAGGTGTGTTGTGTTCACACCAGACGCGAAGCGAATATGCGCATCGCATCACTCGCTCTAGATTACTCTCGCGGGATGTTTTTCGTGTCACTTGCGCGAATAAAAACATGGCGCGATCAACCATGGTAGAGATAACTACAATTGCTGTTTTGTACCTGTTGTCAAAAAGTCCCAAATACGATGGAAAGCCAAACGCCGACATGTCTGGGTTCACAGCACCATCCAGAGGAGGATGAGCAACATTAGGATCCTGCATTAATGTATGCGTTACATTTTACTACTGTATATATACACTGATATTACTATTATTTTTATTATTGATAGCAGCATCTCTGTAGCCATGCTAATAAAATACAACTAACTGATTTGAATTGTTTTCTATGTTCCAGACCTATATAATAACAGACGGCTACAATAATGCTCTCTTCCATTGTCTGATTCAACTGGACGTGTCAAGAAGCTCTTCGCTGATTGGCTTGCGCGAGAAAAAACGCTCGTTCGCGGCAAACGCGTCGCACATTTCGCGTCATTCGCGTCGCCCGGCGCGAATTCGCCTCTATTCGCGTCTTGCGTTGACTTTGTACGTAATCTACTCGCGCGAATAATTACATTCGCGTCTGGTGTGAACACACCATTGGTCTTCCATTTTCGGACATATTTAGCCTTAAGACTATGATTCATTTTTCTAGCCATTTGTTGAAGCTTTTTAGGCAAGAAGATCGCATCTGACTCGCATGTAAAGGGATCAACCTCAGTTTTGTTTTGTTTTAAGTGGTTTTTAGAGTGGGTGTATCTGACATATGGCAAAATAATGGTGTGGAAAATCTATTCAAATAATTTTGAGGCAGTGTCTCTGCAATTGGTTGTACATCATAAAAAAAGAGAGTACTTTTCTTGTTTTGTCTAGACTTTGTTTCTAAATGGGGTGCTGAAAACCTGTGTGCAATATTAAGATAATCAATATATTAATGGTCAGAGTATTTTTATTCATTGCACACAGGCATTTCTTTGTTATATTTGTTAAAGCTATGTTTTCCTTTTTATATTTCTAATTTATTTATATTGGCCAATATATTGGTTACAACTTATGAATGCAAAAATATATAAATACAAAATAAGGTAGTGGCCAAAACTGATGTCTGGCCTAGAAAAATTGACATCTTTGCCTTTATCAAACATTTTATTTTGTAAGCGTGTTGCGTAGTTTTGCTTGGAGTGTAAAACTAATGTACATGCTCAGTTGTTTCATTTGTAATAACACAATAAAACTTGACAAATTGTCATACAATTGCTTATTGTATTGTATTCAATGTATGCTTTATTTCCTGACAGCTTTTTGTTTTTCTATGCATTTTTGTAAAATAAAAAAATAAAACCTATATTTCATGATAAGCTTTCCAAATAATTTTGTCAGTTCAGTATCTTAACCAAGTTAGTTTTTTTTTCTTCTTCGCAATATATTTTGATCTTGTAGGGTCATTGAAGGCAAATATTGTGAAATATCCTCTCCAGACATCACTATTGGCCATTACTGTATAATTAATTATTGGTTATTATTAAATATAATAATCAGCACACTATCAAAATTTCCATATCATATGGGCATTCCATCTGAGGCTGGAACTAGCAGAATTTAGGTTTTTGGTACTTTCATGAAAAAAACAAATATTTAAATTATAAATCTAGTTCAATGAATGTACCATTTTTCCTCATCTTTCTCTCTCCTTTGTTGGGTTTCCTGTTTACAGTGACTTTTAAATGGGTATTTCAGGTAAAAATGTATCCACAGCAAGTCCTCTTAGAGGAAATTGAAATAGGAAGCAGCCGTTTTCTCTAGACTGCGAAAAGTACACATCTACAAGAGATTAGACTCTATTATTAGTTGCCTCAGAACTAATATTTAGTTGTCATCTCCAATATAGCGTGCAGATGGATCAACTCTGCGATCTGCATTGATGTTTTGCTTGTTTCCCTGCAGGTTGTTTGTGCAGACATCACCAAGGCTCAGATTGAGACCATCATGAGTGAATTACTGCAGCTCTATGACATGGAGGCCAAGTGTACCTGAGAGACAAAGAATGAAGCGGGTACTAAAGCACTGACGCGGAAACCAACACCTTCAGCTGTAGCTGTGTCTGACCATCATCTTAACACATGCATTGAACCCTCATTCTCCTGATGTTGTGATGTAACCTAATGAGCTCTACTTGTTAATTACATTACAGAACATGAAGGTTTAGATGGGCTCATCAAGAATGATGAGAGGAATTTAGATATAGGAGCAGGCTTTGTAAGTGGCGCTATGAAAACCAGACTTTAGCCACACCTCATCAATCAATTCCCAGCCACCGAACTACTTTTTTTCTCCTACCTTGTGCTATTTTTCCCCCTAAAGAGGGAGAGAGAAATTACAAAAGAGATGGAATAGCTGGTTGAAGGAAGAATGAAACAAAAGAAGAGCCATCCTGTCCCCAGAGCTAAATTCTGAGGTAAACGCTAGATCTGAGCCATTTCTTTTATATTTTCTAATTTAATTACTCTCCTCCTCTCCCTACAGAACTTGTCCCGGTAGGCTTCTTTATGTAACTCCTTAACCCTTGTGCGTCAATTAAAAAAAGTTACACATAGGTCCATAGTGGACAAAAACTAGCATAAAAATTTGAAGCTTGGGACTTACTTTTTTCTCCTACCTTGTGCTATTTTTCCCCCTAAAGAGGGAGAGAGAAATTACAAAAGAGATGGAATATCTGGTTGAAGGAAGAATGAAACAAAAGAAGAGCCATCCTGTCCACAGAGCTAAATTCTGAGGTAAACGCTAGATCTGAGCCATTTCTTTTATATTTTCCCTGGTAAAAAATAGTAAAAAATTAAATTTTATTGCCAATTTAATGAAAGCCTATCAACAAAAATTGCATAATTTTACAGTTAAATGGCACTGCGATTAAAAATAGCAGTTTTAATGGGTTTCAATGGGGACATTTTTGTCCTTAAGGTCCTGAGAGGAACAATTTTTTTGTACCTAGTGCAAAACAGATTTATTAAAGGAAATGGAAGTGAAATAGTAAAATTCCAATAAAAATACACATCTGTGCCAAAATTTATGCAGTTGGCAACACAGGCAAAATGATCAAAAAAACAAAACTGAAAAGGACAAAAATATTCAAAAGGTCGCACAAGGGTTAAAGCAGTATTACTGTATGCTGTAAGGCAAAGCAGCACAGTTTTATTAGACACCAGACTTCAATTTCAAACTTCAAAAACAACACTTCACAGACGTAAACCTTTCATATTCAGCTAAAGATGAACATGAACTGACAGGTTCATTCTAAGTCTATATTTAAAAATGTAATTATGAATAAACATTTTTTGAACTAATGCTTTTTGAAACAGAACCTTTAAATAGTCTTTCTTTGTAGTTTTTTTTTTTCATCTATGATGTTCTACTTAAAATTTCTGGATCTAGTTAGGTCAGGACATCGCTCTAGAGTGGATCTTAATAAGTTACTATGGCAACTGCTATTGTGGAGGGAGCCTTTGAAACATACAAATGTGAGACTCCATTATAGCACACCTGTCAAGCTCAGCACATCAAATAATTGCAGTCGGGGAAATGTACTAATTTAGTCATTATTTACCAAATCAGTCATTGCTAACATGTTAACCAGCTGTTTCCCCTGTAGCTTACTGAATTGTGTTGACCGGTGACTGCAACTGTTGTTTTAAGAGTTTTCTTTGGCATCAGGTTTCAGTCATCTAGATCTTGAAAAAAACAAACAAACTAGGATTTAAAATCAATATGATTTAGAAATAGTGTATTTAATCACTCTTAGGATATTACAACTGTGGCTATTTGTTTGCATAACTTTAACCAAATTTATTATATGGTTAAATTTGTTAACATTTGGTATCATGCACTAACGATTTTATTGCATTTATTCATATTGATTAATGTTAATTTCTACATCAACTAACATTTTTAATGTATAATAGAATATTATATAATAGTATATTGAACAAACAATAACAAGAGTTTTAACATATTTAACCTAGATTAATTAATGCTGTAAAAATCATTGTTTTTTTGTTAGTTCATGATACATAATGCATTAAGAAAAGACTTACTGTAAATTGTTAGTTATTTTACAATTCGCCCTATCATTTATTCATCCATCGATGCAGATGGATGAATTTCCTTTGCGTTAAGCAGTTTTATGGATTTTATTTTTTGGAAAAATATCTAAACATTCCTGCTTCTCTCTTTGCCACACGCACACAGTTACACACAAACACACACACATCTCTCAGCAGGCAGGCCCTAATGCTGGGCATCATGAATTATGGAGAGGGTACATGTGCAGCCGGATTCTCTTCCATCAATAAAACATCAGCATGGTCCTCACTATGGGATAGAGTGCTGGGAATAGGAAGGATGGGATTGATTGTGACTCTAACCTTACTCTCTTTGCCATCTCTCTTGGTTCTCTTCTTTCAATCTGTGTCCCCCATTCCAAGATTTTGTCCTGTGTAAAAGCAAGCCTCTTTGTTGCATTCTCGGCTCTGTGATTTTCTCTCATGGTGTTCATCTCGTAGTCTTTAATCTCTTTCTCTTTCCTGTCCTTTCTCCTCACTGCCTCACATTACAGATCACTCCAAACTAGGCATGGGCCGATTACCGGTTTCAAGGTATACCGAGATTTGAAAATGTCACGGTTTCAAAACCGCTAATATTTTCCGTTATACCGTTCCTGCGGTATGCGCTGTTTTTCATGTCTCCTCAAAGACTGAAAGTGTAGGAATCCCTCAGGTTGAGTGCAGTGTAGAGAGTAACACGACCCCTCCTCCTCCTGTTGGTGCGAGCGAGTGGTCAGTCACGTGTGTGTATGACTGCCGAAGGAGCTTCCTCTGGAACTTACGCGATCGGCAACCGGCCGTTTACTGTCTTATTGCAAGCAACTCGTCTCTGTTCTGGACTTGCACAAACTGCGTTGCAATGCAATC